TCAAAATACAATTATACACTCCATGAAATTAGTTTTCATTTTTGCTGATCGAAGACAAAGCATTAATTAAGTCCTTCACTGGCCAGAACACTCTTTTCTCGAACTTGACAAAACAGAATTAAACTCACCATAACCGTGCTGGTTAATGTTCGCAAGACTCAAACAATCCCAGGCTTCGCTTCAGTCAGGAAAACCTCAAGTTAACTCAACAGAATATGAAAATATCTTTAGATCTGCTGGTTCTCTCTACTGTCGCTACCTTTCTTCCTTCAATACACTATAATTTATACTATGAACCATCTCTACCACAAACTTCTATCTATTTATTGCTTTAGTTTTTTTTCCATTTAAAATATTTTTCTATTTACTATATTTATTGCTCTGCTTGTTTACATGTCAGTGTTTGTAACCTTGGTCACAGAGTGGTTGTAGATATCGCAGCAGATCAGCACACACGCATGTACTTCTTGTGACCTTTTATTTTGTATTGTACACAGAGGAATCCTCCTTGACCCGCAGTGAGATGCTTCAACAGGGGCATGTTTAAGTGTTTGCAGCTCTTGTCACCGAGATACCCTTCACTATAAACTGGGTCAGTCACCCTGCTTCTGCTAACAAATCATCCGTGTGGGTTTGCGAGGTGAAATAGAATATATCAGTTGTAGTTAGACTGTAGTATGTTGTGCAGCAGTATGTGGAAATATTTGGTGATATATTGAAACTATAATTACCCAAAACTACAAAATACTTAGGGAATGTCTGAAAATTACTTGGGCAGCTGAACCTTATGGTTCACTTTTTAGAAAATTTCTATTAAAATTTTCAGTCCACCCTCCCATTGACTGACAAAAAATCACAACACCCTCCCCCTAATATCTCAAAATAATATCACATTGTTGAATTGGTACAACTTTAATTATTTAAACTTTAGGTGCATACTGAATTCAAAATATTAAGTCTGCCACATAATATTTAAATGGAACAATAATTTTCACAATATCCACCAAAATTCCACCTTAGAAATGACGGCAGTAAATAACCAGGGACAGGGAAGGGAAGGCTAAAATAAAATAGAAATGTAGGGTGAGAAAATTTCTCACTTCCTCTTCCAAAAATGTTGGACTACTCTCAGCAAAAAAAAGAAAATATATCTAACAATCTGGTGTTTTGTCTCCCTCTTCCCCTTTATAATTTTCACAGAGTCTCTTATGGAATACATTCAAACAAAAAACAAATCATAACTGATGTAATATGAGTTGTGTAATATTTGACCATCTTTCAAAAGTTGGCAGTGTAATTAATTCTAATAAGGTGGTATTCACATGTGTGTGTTTTTTAGGTTGTTTTTTTTCCACTGACCTGAAATCTTCTTTAAGGAACAGGTTTATCTAATGTAAGAAAGTTTATTCAAATAATGGCTAACCAAATTCACATCAGCCATTTGTATGAAAATTCTCAGGCCAGATTTGCTTTTAAATCTGGCCTGAGAATTTCCATACAAATGGCTGATGCTTATTTAAGTTTATTATTGGTATATTATTTCATAGATAAAACATAATTTACTCTTTCTTTTTTTTTAACACAAAATGAAAATACTTACCTTAAATGTCTGCATGCCTGTCGCTCTGCGTCTCTCCTTCAATCAACCAGTCTCATTGGCTGTTGTGGTTGTAAATGATCCAGGACAGTAACAGAATGACCTATAAATTTGTTAAATCACTGCTCAGTCAGGAAAGTGACAGATCTTATTTGTATTCAGTTCGAGAGATGAGAAACTGTCAGACAATAGAAATGAAGTAGCAACTAGACTGAGCCTTTCTTTTTTTCCTTTTCGAAATACTGGGTGGTTGTACATCTATTTTTAGAAAAAGTGATGAGATCAATGCAGTGTTTAAATTTGGTAAATATCGATAGAAGGTATTTATTGAAGTACTGGAATAGTAAGTATCAAAGTGCAAACATACTGTGGAAAAAAGCGAGCTGGACTTTTTTGAGCTCTACCTGGCACTGACAGAGTTAACACTGGCGTCTTTCTCTGTCACATTTGCATGTGTAATTTTGTATGTTTAACTTCACCTCATCGTCTGTCTTCAGAGTAGACTGCAAACTCAAGTGTGAAGCAGCACTAGATCACAACTCGTGTGCTGTGTGGTCATGGTTCTCTTCATAGACTCCCTGGGTCAGTGTGTGTCTGCACTGTCCAAACGCTTCGCTGCTGCAGAGTCCATCAGAGACACTGTCAACGGTCTTCCTCATTCCCACCGGGAGAAACACTCAGAGATCCGCCACAGAAAGGACACGCACCATCAACAGGAGGACACACCGAAACCTAAGGTAAAGAGAACAACACCTGCAGGCATCTTCAGCGGCTTGTTTGTAAAAGATCTGTGCCTTCCAGCTGTTTGCCGCTGCTCTTTGAATTTTATCAGGAGCTTGTAATGAGTATACTCATCCTGAACTGTATCTAATGTAGGTAACCAACGGCAAAGTCCCCACCTCCATTCTTAAGAGGCCAAGCCCCAACTACGGGTCAGACACAGAACCAAACCACAGACGGAAAGGCGAGCGGAGGGTTCGATTCAGGGAGCCAGAGACCACAGTACATGGTGAGAAAACGTACAAGTGAACTGTTTGCAGTGAGTCCAGCCTGCTCTGTCAGAGACGATCAGATGTGTTTGTGCACCAGAGAACATGCTGCCCTCTGGTGCTTCAGCGCCTCGACCACTAGTCCAGTGACTGAATATCACCCATATTTTCTGCAGCCTGTCTATATCAGCTCTACATTTATACAAACACGAATAAGGGAATGCACTGATACAGTAACAATATGAATGTTATTTCAATTATTTATAAAAAGTTTCCTCAAAATTTGTGCTATCTCAGCTTACAGAGCCCTCACCCCACATATGAGTGTTTTATATGTACTTGGCAGTGAAGAGAGAGAACAGCATGCATTAAAACATCCATAGATTGCATCGTAAACTATTTCCCCATGGGAATTCTCTACTATTTAAAAATAATGTAATGCCAAGAGACGTCCAAACGTGAGCAAGTGATTTACCCTTCGTAATTAATTATGCATGCAAATGAGGCACCATGAAGTCTGTTCCAGAGAGATAGTAGAGTCTATGAGGGCACAGCAGCTGGTTTGTAGCTGCTGTACATCACAGAGGTTGCCTCTTGTTGACTGACTGGCCTCTTCTCTGTCGGCTTCACAGACATCCCTTACTGTGACTGTTTAGGTGGTAAGTCTATCTGGAAGTGTTCAGAGTCACTGTGTTAATTTGCATGAGGAAGTGAAAGGAACACTGCACTTTTTAATACTGGATCTAATAAAGTGTGGAAAAGAATCAAGGAGATTGATTTAGATTAGTTGTTAGGTGTAAATTGTGAATAAATTTCCCTTTTGATTAACGTTGTTGACTATCATGCAGTACGGATGGAGTTCACTATCACCCCCTTTATAATAATTTTTGAGACACAGAAAACACAGTCTGCGTGACAAAGCTCCACTACCCAATAGATAGTGTAGTCACATTAAATCCTCCCATCAAAAACTTGCCTCTTCTCACGTCTTGAAAGAAACAAATCTGTGCATGTGACAGCTCCTGTCCTCATTTACAAATCAAAGCTGTGAAAACCGGCATTGTTTTTCTGTGTGCAGCCTACGAGACGACACCGTCCCGCCCCCACCTCGCCCTGTTCACTTGCCTCTTCCTGCTGATGTCATTCCTGGGTGTGGCCATGTATTGCACAGACCGCCGGCGCCCACAGCGAGTGTGCGAAGAGCTGGAGGCCGCTTTGGCTGTCTACCTGCTGCATATGAAACAGCTTCTGTGGGGCTGCTGGATATGGCTGACCATGCAGTGACTGAGACTGACCACAGGTGGAGACATGGAGCCTCCTTTAATTTTTTTCAAACCCCTCTTTTTCCTATCTTCGAAGGTGCCCAGGCCTACAAACACCTCAGCCATTTGGCAAGGCTCTGTACACTGTCTGTGGTGTTGAACCACTCTCACAGTGAAAAGGAAAAAAAGTTACGATCCCAGAAATATGTAGCTTCCATGTCTGTATGTATATATGTATTAAGGTGGTGGGCATGCCACTTTTAAGTTGTAATGACATTTTGCACATCTGCAATGTTGATGCTCACATATAATGCTCACTTAATCACCACAACCATGTGATTTTTCAGTTCATGTCACAGTCTATTGTATGTGAGTGAATGTTTCCATGGAATGCACATATTTATTTTGCTACGGTACATGATTTGTGTATATCAGATATTACACAGAACTGAATGTGTATATATGGATCAATATACTAAGGACTATCACAATATTCAGCCTTGTATTTGCACATAAATGAATGTAGAGATGTTTGGAAACAGCTTTGATTGGCACAGCGCACATTCAAGAGGAAGAGTATGGAAGCACAAATGTGTAAACTGTTCGATAATGAAAGAAAACACAGGGCTGCATCACTTCACAGGTTGAATGACTAACAGATGATAAACACCTCTTTCTTTACAGACTTGATACTGTCTGTTTGTCTGTATGGCTGACTGTCAGCTGACTCCTAGTTTCACTGAGGGGAAAATCTGCAGCACAATATTATCTATCATCGAAGAGAATATACTCAAACAGAATGAATGCTAATGCTTTTGACAGTGTTCCTCTTTATAACTGCTTGAATCCCACAAAATATCCTTTATCCTAAATGTTATTTATTCTTCTATACTGTATATCTGCATCTACGCAAATATCCAACTTTCAATTATTTTAACTTTTTTAACTTTTTGTTTTGTTACATTTCTATTTAAAAACAATAATATTCAGGTTTTAATCATGATGTCAAATGCTCATCAAGCTTTCAACAAGTGTACAGATGGGTGTGGGCTCAACAAATATTTGCATTAAAAAAATAAGGATTGACTCCTTATATAAGGTTCATTACTGTTTTTCAGGCCAAACACAGAAATATGACAGAATCAGATACTGTCTGTTATTGTAGAGTCTCTTTATCAAATAAAGCAATTCAAATTCAAACAACCAAACCACCACACAAATGGATCATAGGGATCAAAGGGCACAGTGATGCACATCCCACAGACCTCTCATTATGAGCAATAACACACATCACATTGTTTCCAGTAAAACATTGTCCTTTATATAACAGGTTTCAGGGAACTCAAAGGAGAAGCGTTGGATTTTGGAGATCTCACATTTGAATGTCAAAGCAATATGAGGTTAATAACGCCTGCATAGAGGAAAGAAACACTCTCAACTCTGTACTGTCAAACTAAATTGTCATTAGCAATAAAACAATACCCAGTGAACTCATGTCCTGTATGTGCACATTTAGCTTAACAGCTGCATTTCACGGCTGTCCAAACATTTATGGTCACTTTGAAAGAAGTGCCTTTATGGAGGGTTTTCTTAGTTCCTACTGTTTTATGATTTCAATTGTTTTGAATAAAACTGTCATTGCCTATCAAAGTCAAGCAGATGACTTGCTTTCTTCCTGTAATGTCTGACAATAAGCGGGTATGCGACGTGAATGGAGCAGGGAGAGAGATGCATGCAGGTACAGTTGTGCGTCTATTCACAGTAATGCAGTATATTGGTTTGTAGCCTTTAAAGTGTGAGGGAGAAGCCTGAGTTACTATATGGCACAAGATAAGATCTGTTTGTTTGTTTTTTTTTAAATCTCACACAAATTGCTTAAAGCATTTTTGGACCGGCTGCCTGATACATGATATACTTTGTTGTTTTTATAAAACACCTTTATGAAACTGTATGAATACACTGCAAAAGCACACATCATTTTACTTTGCTGCAGCATGCAAAGAATTCTCACTTCACCGAGAGGCAGTGCACAGCCTACCAGAAAAAAAGCCTATAGGAATACATTTATTGGTGTATAAAACAAAAGAACATCCCTTTACATCTAAAAACCACCCTATTAATTTGTCATGCATTAGGTCCATGCAGAAGTTTCACAAAGACAACATGATCCATCTGCCAATCTGTCCATTAATACTGTGTTGCTAAATAGAAATTCACGAGTGGAGAAAAACTGGGTGTACATTTTCACTGAATGGTTTTAATCAAAGCTATCAAAGCTTAGTTATGGTTGTTTGTCTTGAAGAGGAACGCACACAGTGGATGAATAAACTTGACAAAGCAGGACTCTTCAAGGATTAGCAACCATTGGAAGGGTTTTTTTGAGGGGAAATCAATCATCTCAGGAGAACAAAGCTAAAACCTGCGGGTTGATTCAATCCGTGGTCAATGGGAGCAAAAGCCAATTGATTTTGATTGTCTACAGAGGCAAACATTGGTGTTTCTCATGGCAGGTGAGAGGACGGTACGGTTGAGTGTGAATGTGTGTGTTTGTGCATCGTCTAGATTTTTCTAGATCAGGCCGGTCTTGAGGTCAGAGCTGTGGCGAGAGGAGCGGCCGAGAAGCAGGTCCTTCTCGTGGATCAGGCTGTCCAGCAGGTCCTCTTGTCTGTAGTTGTGGTAGACCTTCAGGAAGGCCATCACTGCGATCCCAAGCCAGGTGAGCCAGGCAGCCCACAGGCCGAACTGAAAGAATGAGGGAAATCATTGTAAAAACAAGACTGAGATTCAGGATTTTGTCTGGATGATACCATAAGAAAAAAAACTACCTGAGCTATAGCAAATTGGTCATAAAAAGCAGAGTTGTCCAAGCCAAGCTCTAGATCAGTGTCCTGCAGGTCCTCACAACTAGAAAGGAAAAAAGAATTATACAAATAAACAGGCATTTCGGAGAACCACTGCACTGTATGCGGAAATTCTGTGTCAGTAGAGGTGTAGTGTAGAGGTGATGTGTTGCTCTCTCACCTGCTGGGCATGGTCCCACCCTCAGTGATCGCGTCACACCACAGGTTGAAACCCACACTAACAATTGTGCTGGACAGGAAGACCGTGAACACCACCAGGGAGCTGATCAGCAGGTTGAGGAAGGCGTTGAATATGGAGCTGTATGCAAAGGAAAAAAAAAACTGTCTCTGCTTAGCATTTAAATAATTCTCAGTAATTTTTTTTCTTGAAAATGTAGGCCTGTAAAACTGAAACAAGGTCTGAACTATTACACAGCATCATCTACATCTCTATGATGAATGATGCCTCTGAGTCACACATGCTCACACAGGCTGTGACTGATGTCACAAGATACCACAGTATGTGATTCTGATTTTTCAAAGGCAACACAAGTGTGTTCCCTCCATCTTTATCATGGATGGCGACAATGACTGGTCGTTTTTATAGGGTTTATTCTCTGGTTTGTTTATCTCATTTCATAGCCTTTAATACAGCACATATAATCTATAATTCTGTCAGAATAGCGCGCAGACAAGGGCGTGGGAGATAGACAGAAAAACACATTTACATTGAGCCGTTAAACCTGCGTGGTATTGCCTGTCCTATGGAGCTTTTGATGGAGCTGGTGTTGAAATGTGTTGAACAAGCACAAGTAAACTGTCACTCACTCATCGTGTCCTTTGCACAGGAAGAACAGCAGCCTCCATGCCTGCACTGCGGACAGAATAAGAGACGCTATCCCAACAAAAGTGATGAAGCTGCAGGAGGACTCGGGTCCCCACTCCTCCACGATGAAGCGCTGCTTCGACACAGTGATGTTCTCATTTTGCCACATACCCCGCGTGAAGAGCAGGCATTTCCCACCGAAATCCTCCGTGTTTTCGGATAGAGGCACCACTGCAATGAAACCGAATACGAAGGCTAAAAAATAAAGAATGCACTGGGCGAAAATTAAATTATCGAGGGCCATTTTTCTGCCTCTCTATCTTGTGCTCTCTGCGTCCAGGAGAAACTGCGGCTGCGCAGTGGAGGCAGAGAGGAGCGGAGGAGCAGCATCCGACGACGCGCTCTGCTGCAAATTAATAAGCAGGCTGAGGCCTTCAGGGCTCTCCATGTTGTCTCCATCCAAGCTGTGGAGATACTCCTCTTCACTGGTGTTCCCATTCGCAACAGTTTTTTAAGTATAAGTCATGAAAACGTCAAAGTATAGTGAGGCATAAAAACGTCATAGTAGAGTAAGGCTTAATGATGTCCAAGTATAGTAAGGCATGTAAGTCATAATAACATCATAGTATAATAAGGAATAAAAAGTCATAAAGACAACATCAATTAGTAAGGAATGAAAAATCATGCAAACGTCTTAGTATAATAAGGCTTTAAAATGTCAAAGTATAGTAAGGCATATAAAGTCATAAAAACATAGTATAAATAAGCATGGTAAAATAAAGCATAAAAAGTAAAAAAAATGACATCACATGGTACGTCATTAAAATCTCATAGTATAAGAAAGGATAAAAAGGCATAAAAACGTCATAGTATAGTAAGGCATAAAAAAAGTGTTAGTATACTGAGGAATAAAAAAATCACACTTTAATGAGGCAAAAAAGTCATAAAAGAAACATAGTATAGTAAGGCATTAAATGTCATAAAAACGACATAGTATAGTAAGGCATAAAAAAGTAATGAAAACGTCATAGTATAGTAAGGCATGAAAAGTCATAAAAATTACATTGTATAGTAAGGCATAAAAACGTCATACTATAGTTAGGCAAAAAAAGTCATAAAAACATCATAGTTTAGTAAGGCATAAAAAAGTCATGAAAAGATGGTTTAGGAAGTCATAAAAAGTCATAAAAACATAGTATAAATAAGCATGGTAAAGTAAAGCATAAAAAGTCAAAAAAATGATGTCACATGGTGGTCATTAAAAATCTCATAGTATAAGAAAAGATAAAAAGGCATAAAAACGTCATAGTAAGGCATAACAGGTCATAAAAACATCATAGTATAGTAAGGCATGAAAAAAAATGTGTTAGTATACTGAGGCATAAAAAAATCACAGTTTAATGAGGTAAAAAAGTCGTAAAAGCAATAAAGAATAGTAAGGCATAAAAAGTCATAAAAATGGCATGGTATAATAAGGCATCAAAAGTCATAAAAACTTCATAGTATAATACGGCATGAAAATGTCAAATGTCACAGTATAGTAAGACATAAAAAAGTCATAGTATAGTAAGGATTGAAAAGTCATAAAAATTACATTGTATAGTAAGGCATATAAGTCATAGTATAGTAAGGCATAAAAAGTCATAAAAACATCATAATATAGTAAGGCATAAAAAGTCATGAAAACGACATAGTATAGTAAGGCATAAAAAGTCATAGTATAGTAAGGCATAAAAAGTCATAAAAACGTCATAATATTTTATGGCATAAAAAGTCATGAAAATGACACAGTATAGTAAGGCATAAAAAGTCATAGTATAGTAAGGCATACAAAGTCATAAAAAAAACATAGTATAGTAAGGCATAAAAAGTCATAAAACCGTCATAATATTTTAAGGCATAAAAAGTCATAAAAACGTAATAGTATAGTAAGGCATAAAAAGTCATAGTATAGTAAGGCATAAAAAGTCATAAAAACATCATAATATAATAAGGCATAAAAAGTCATAAAATAATAAGGCATAAAAAGTCATAAAAACATCATAATATAATAAGGCATAAAAAGTAATAAAAACGTCATAATATTTTAAAGCATAAAAAGTCATAAAATAATAAGGCATGAAAAGTCATAAAAACGTCGTAATTTAATAAGGCATAAAAAGTCATGAAAACGTCATAGTATAGCAAGGCATAAAAAGTCATAAAATAATAAGGCATAAAAAGTCATGAAAACGTCATAGTATAGTAAGGCATAAAATCGTCATAGTATAGTAAAGCATAAAAAGTCATAAAAACGTCATAATATTTTAAGGCATAAAAAGTCATGAAAACGACAGGTGTAAAAAGTCATAAGATAATAAGGCCTAAAAAATCATAAAAACGACATAATATAATAAGGCATAAAAAGTCATAAAAACGTCATAGTATAGTAAGGCATAAAAAGTCATAAAAACGTCATAGGATAGCAAGGCATAAAAAGTCATAGTATAGTAAGGCATAAAAAGTCATGAAAACGTCATAATATAATAAGGCATAAAAAGTCATAAAAACGTCATAGTATAGCAAGGCAAAAAAAGTAATAAAAACGTCATAATATTTTAAGGGATAAAAAGTCATAAAAACAACAGGTCTAAAAAGTCATAAAATAATAAGGCATGAAAAGGCATAAAAAGTCATAGTATAGCAAGGCATAAAAAGTCATAAAAACATCAAAATATCTTAAGGCATAAAAAGTCATAAAAAAGTCATAGTATAGTAAGGCATAAAAAATCATAAAAACGACATATCTAAAAAGTCATAAAATAATAAGGCATGAAAAGGCATAAAAAGTCATAGTATAGCAAGGCATAAAAAGTCATAAAAACATCAAAATATCTTAAGGCATAAAAAGTCATAAAAAAGTCATAGTATAGTAAGGCATAAAAAATCATAAAAACGACATAATATAATAAGGCATAAAAAGTCATAAAAAC